ATGTAGAGATGGTAATGTAGCGATAAATATGTCGAATTCGTAGATATAATCGAAGATATAAATTTAAAAAAATATTGAAACAGATCTGAGAATAAGCAGTCAATCGTGGCTGTAATGAAAATGCACCACGTGAATGTAAACAAAGTAAAGACGACAAAGCCTCCTTTATATACCGAGCATAATTTGGCAAATTATTCAATCAATCGATGTACAATAACATGTTTATATTTGATGATTTTGTACGACTAAACGGCACGGTCAGCGCCGCGCCTGGGCGCAACTTGCCGCGAGTTTGATTCCTGTATCTCGTGAAAGTGGTCATGGTATTTCTCACTCAGCTTCTTACCTACTTATAATAAATATTATCTTTTCAAAAACTGTTCCAAACTAGCATTTTCTCGTGTGTCGTGATCGTGATGTGTTTACAAACATACAAATTCACTCGTACATGACACCGAGACCCGTTTTATTTATTCTTTGAGAAAACCATCCAATGACTTCCCGCAGTTCCCGCCTCGGGTGTGGCGCGAGAGTGTCAGATTAATACTGACTAAAAACCACCTCGAGTCGGAGCCCCGGCAACCCCTTAAAGATCATCGCACATCTAACAAGCACGGCTCCGGCACGGCGTTGTTTCGAATTTGTAGGCAAATTCTAGGCTAGGCTAGCCGCCAGCGCACTTACGGCGCGCCGCCCGAACGCTGGAAGCGCGCGAGTGCCTCAACTACAACTCGAGAGTTCCGCGCACTAATGGCATTTTGTATTGACGTTATGAAATATATCATACAGCACAAAGATTATATTTAAATGAAAAGTAATTGCTGGGTTGAAGCCGTGCTTGTTAGGTGTGCGATGACCGCATGATGTGTCTGCCGCGGCTGTGGAGGTCTGGTGGCTGTGGCTCTGATGGTAGCCGGAGATTGTCGCGCAATCTCCGACGCCCGGAGTGTCTCCTGCGACAGCTGACGCCTCCTAAGGAGTAGGCGCGCTCCTAAGTAAATTTGCTAGCTAAGTGTGCTAGATTGACTTCGCAGAAGGAGGAGACGACATCTCAGACCCCTCGCCCCACATCATGGCTTGAACCAAACGCGAGAGGTCGCAATCACATCCCCTAGGACACGGCGGCAAGGACATAGCACGTGCGGTGTCCACCGCCACCGTATGCTCCACTGAGTCCTACGGGCGGGCATCGCAATGACGATACCCGGGCGTCTCCTCCCGTCCAATCAGAAACAGCCACATACCTCCCGAAACTCCCATGTCCGGTAAGCACCTGCGTTAGACAATAGGCGAGGACGCCATAGCGTCTCTCAAGCTAATTCTCAAAGAGGGGACTTACCCGCTGCAATGACAGCAAACCTAGCCCTCAGCTGCGTCAGTCGTGCCTGAACTCGCTGCCATTCCGCCATGAGATCGTGCCAGAACTCGTCTCGCCACGCGCTAATCTGGCGCGGCAGACAGGGATTGAAACAACTATTCTGTTCTGTGCGGGAATAGAACTCGCGCGTGATCCAGTGCGCAGTAGCCGTTTACTATTATCAGCTCGGTCTGGAAATGTCATATCGAATATAAAGGGATCATACCTATCACCCCTACGGAAATATGTAAAATACAAGTGTGCCTAGGTGCTTGCATTTCATTACCTATTGTAAACCTTAATAATCGAATTGTGTTGTAGGCTGTATATTAGATTATTCTATAAAGTAAACTCAAGTTTGATATGGATCGTACGCTGGACAAACAAATAGATAGCAAGATGTGTACATTCTGGAATATATATTGATTATATTAAATTAACTATTATTATTTATTGTTTTCGTCTCAGTCACGTAACTGTTTGACGACAAATCTGCTGCGGTACGGGCCCAGCGCGCCTTCTGCCGTGATTCACGCGCACTTTATCTGTGGCGGCGACGCTAGCGGCGCTCGCGACACCGTTGGCACGTTAGACTCGTTAATTGCTGAATTGAAATCCCAGGTCGACACGACAAGTGTTAGCATCGCAGCAGACTCTAGTAGCCAGTAGCAGCGCGACAGTCGCCGCGTCGCGTGTCAAGGAATGTTGGGCATAAATACGCATCTTCTTTACATATTATATAATTCTTCTGTGAGTGTGTATGTCACTGAACTTCTCTCAAACGACTGGACCGATTTTGATGAAATTTTTTGTGTGTGATCAAGGGAATCTGGGAATGGTTTAGATTCACAAATCAGCCCGGCAGATGACGCTGCAGTCGATGATTAGGTTATTTATCCTAAACAGCTGAACTACATAATTTGAATGAATTTTTATTCATACATTCAAGTGGATATGCAGGACTACGTCTGTTGGGTCCGCTAGTATATATATATCTCATAATTATTTATGCCCAACATTCCATGACACACGTGCATCTAGCATGGCTTGAATTTCAGTCGAGTTCTTCGTCAAGCAGTTACGTGAGTAAGCCGTAACACAATTAATTGTGTCTCACAAAAGTTTTAACTTAGCAATATTGATATTGGACATACCTAATTATAATATAATTGAATACTTTTTAGTATGTATTTTACCAGAAACAAACTTAACAATAGACTTATCGTTAGACGTAAATTGTACAAGTTCCACCTACCACAAACTTACTGACTTATCGAGCTGGACCGGAGCCCTGTCCTAACAGTACCCGGTGATGACTATTGCAAATCGACCTTAGAAAGGAGTCTATACCTAGTCTAACACTCATCCCGAATCACAGATTGAAAAATAAGTTTTGTACAAATACCTAATAGGTACCTACCAACTTTTCACAAAAACTTGTATCTCCAAAAGTCACATGACAGTACCAACCTGGTACAAGAAAGTACCTTGCGTTAAATAATTTTACCACCAGGTACCTGTAAGGTATTTTCTTTCCTTTTTTGTTGAAATAAGTAATAGAGTACAAAAAATACTTGTCTGATATGTTCTTTACCACACTGCTAGGTGTCCAGCAGACGAACCGATCGATGCCTTGGATAACGATGTTCTGTGAACTATACGTAGATAGGTACTTTAAGGTAGTGCCATATTAAAGAGCTTCCTGTCTATTTTTAACTGGTTTTTCATTTATCTTCCTGACACCGGTTGTGCGGTTATACCAATTACCAGCTATACCTGCAGCCCGCCAGGCCCGATTGATTGGCCCTCTTTATGTTCCTATTAAGCGTTCTTTTTTATATTTCGCGCCTATAAGAGAACGAGGGATTTGGGAGTCGGAGCTAAAAGACAAAAAACTAGCTAATTGACGTATTATACCGTACCATACAACAATTTGCTACATTTCCTTGATTTTGTCTATCGCTACAATCGGCAATGACGCTACCGTTGATTCTCGCGGCGCGGACGCCGCAACGCGGTTACATGTGTTTTGGCCCTATGAAAATAAAACTCAGCATTCACGCACACGTTGCCGCCGCCGCGCCGCACAATGTCATTGTGCATACGTGCCACCGCCGCCGCGTAGTATGTCCTATTCCATTGCCAGCCTCATACTTTGAGTATAGTGTAAGGCACCCTACGAACGCGCTCACAGTCCGGTAATGGAATGAATAAAAGAGAGGGAACGGAAGGTGGTGCGGCGGTGCCATGTGCAGGAACGATTAAGTTAACAAATGAGTAAATGAGGCGCTATTGACAATGCAGATTCTAACTGGCGCCTCTAGTGTCAAAATTGTGAAGTTGTCTAAGAACGACGCTGCAGTTTTCGGAATAATTTACGTCACAGAAAAATTTATTTATTAAATGTAAATCAGATTTATGTTGTTTCTGGTAGATAAATATTTAAATTGAATAATTAAATAAATTGGAAAATTAATCCAATGTTATACTAATTATTCAATTAATATCCTTAACTCACTTCATTACACTCGAATTCAATCCTATACCTTTAGCCACCATTTATTTAAATTCCTGTTTTATTTACCTCTACAATATGGTTATCTGATGCTCGACTTCTTTATAATATGTTCTGTGTGCTCGACCACCATAAGATGCACTAATTTCAGTTATTAGGTCAGAAGGAGTTATTCCAATAACTTAGCTGTATTGTTTTTTTTTATATTGAGAGTACGTCAATTTCTACTTTTTAAACATTTACAATTATTATAAATCACAGTCTAATATTATTCTTGTATTTTTATATTTTTGGAATGATTTAGGTAAGTTACTACGTATCATTTCGGTTTCAGACCAAAGAATAACAACATTGAGTACTATATTCAGCATGGGGCACATATTATTTAAATAATTTTAATATGTCTGCCTATTTATACCAAACGACACCAATGGCTCCAAATTACATTTTGTTTAATTTTTACCCTTTTTTTACCATTGTCAAAATAAATGTCTCTCACAGATAATATTTTCTTGTTTGTTGTTGTTGGCAAATGCCAACTTGGCATTTATGGCCAATTCATTAACACAAGTCACTAATGATGCTAAAAGTTCAATTGAATGATTACCCGTAAAAGTAAATAAATACATATCACTGCGAGTAAATCTGAGAAGGGTTAATTGCTTTACAGCTGATATTTCTTCTTTCCATACAGGAAAAACAATATTTTAATTGCTTTACAGCTGATATTTCTTCTTTCCATACAGGAAAAAAAATATTTGATTCATAATTTTGTCTTTTGGAAATAAATGAATACTTATTCCCGAATCTCCGTAAGTATTACATTGAGGAAAGCAACAATATTTTGTGTTTCTGCTTTTATTAAAGACAGGTTTCTGTGTGTAATCGTGATCCATTTGGATATGTTTAAACATAATAACTTACTCGAAAGAAAAGTATCGTTCTTAGACAACTTCTAAATTTCGCCGCTAGAGGCGCGCGGATAAACTGCATCGCCCTTGTGATAAAAAAAAACAAAAATGGTATTTAACACATTTATTAATGTAATATGCACTTCTGCCTACCCCTTTGGGGATAAAAGGCGTGATTTTATGTTATATTAATGTTATGTACATTTAATACCGTATGTAGGTACAACAGGTTTTATATTACAAAAATATACAGTCATATTTTAGTTCGAAATATTAGGTACCTATATATTGTAGTTACAATTTTATACCTATACTACATACAATCGACAAAGTTGGCGGTCGAGCATCATTCGAAGATTTTCCCATACACTCGGCGCACAAGGAAAACACGGTGGAGAGAGTTTGCCACAGGATTTTGTTTAAAAGTGTACTACCGTAATGGTGGCTCTACACACTGGGCCAACATAGGTAGTGAATTGTAGATGTCCTTTCTGTACATTTCCATGAAATGTAAAATGTCGAGTGTTCGTCCAGGTTATTGTACTTAATTCGAGAACAACTCACACGTGACAGTACCGTCTTTACCGACGAATGACAACAAACTGAATGCGACACCAATGGATAAACACCATAATTATGTGGAGCGCTCCAAGATCCTTTGATGTGGGCACGAAAAGCCGATAACATTCAGTTGGCCGGTCAACGTTGGCGACAACTATCGACATAGTGTCTACACATTGGGCCTACTATACTACATGACTATGTGTAAAAGGCTCAATGTGTAAAAGCGGCATTACTTGGCGCTATGTCGTCGGCCGGCACTGGCACCAGTTTAACGTGCCCACATTAGGGCTCTTTTCCTGTCACGCGTATTTTAGTCCACACGCGAGTCTTGTCCGCAGGAAAAGTGCCTTAAGGATCTTGGCGCGCTCCACAACCAGCGTTTACATATTGACCTCAATCAGTTTGTTGTCATTCGTCAGCAAAGACGGTACTGTCGCGCGTATGTTGTTACACCCGAATTGCAATGGCGTGGACGAAGGTTTTACATTTGATTGAAATGTACAGAAAGGACATTTAGGTCTCTCTACTTACCATTCACTACATTGGTCCAACGCGATGGCCCAGTGTGTAGAGCCGCCTTTAAAAGTCGATGGTACCTAATAATATTCGAACATGTATACCAATAATCTATTTAGGTCATAATTGATATGTGAAATGAAATATTTGTAAATAAATCTACCCATTAGAACGGTCACCACTTAGTAGTAAGATTGTAGACTTCTAAGATTGTCGTCTTACTTATGTGGTTTCTTTAAAAAGATTAATTTCACATCGATGACATCGATCTTAGGTTTTATTTTAGAAATTACATAAATAAATAAATATTAGGTATTTACATTTGTCATCTCCACCTACCACCTACTCACCCAATAACGGAACAGCAAATCTGACAATAATTTTCCAACAACCAGCTTTTGATAAACTGAATCGACATTAATGCACTGCAAATTAGTCACCTACAGTCCTATATTAGGCAATAGGTGAGTAAGTGGTGATGTAAGTACCTACCAAAACAATTTTTGAAATAGGAACTTTGGTCGACTTGAATTTCCGTGCCTAACGAAGAAACGACCTCAGATAAGTATCCTGTCACTATACAAGAATAGTAAGTGCGTCCTACGCATGGCCATTGGAGCGGAGAGTTCACTGTAAATCGAGCACTATAAGTCTTCAATTTTTCCAACTGTAAAAGTTAATTAGAAGCAAGTATAATGTATGCGGCGCGTGCGGTTCTGAATGGATGAGCATGAGCACAGAGCTGGCGAAGTAGACGCGCGGTGCGCAGTGCCGCCGCGGCCGCGCTCTGCCCCGCTGCCGCCGGCCGAGCGGCCTCGCACCTTCCGCGTGGGCGATCGCCGTCCAGCTGCCCACCAAGTCACGTTCTTTTAGTAAATGTCGCCAACTCTACTTCACACGAATTATGAAAACTCGCACTATGTACAAAATAACTTACGTGACAAGGAAGAAACAGGTAACTTTCTAGAACTAATTATTACTCTTAATGAATGTGCTTCAATTTAATACTGGTTATGGATTAATGGCCGCGCCGCTGAACTAAAGACATATTTTGCTCAGAGCTACTAATATGACTCTTCAAGGTTTTGCTCACTATCTTAGCTAGCGGGAAGCCAGCGACGCCTGCGCGTGCCACTGCACCGCGACACTCTCCCTTGTAGTCATCAGCATTCAGTGAATATATCATGGCTCCCCCTAATTTATTCTCAATTATAAACTTTGCTTTCTCCATAACACTCTGAGGGTCTTCATAAGATACCCATTCTTTGTTTTTATATAAGTAAGAGACCTTGGCCTCATTGTCTCTAGTAATTGTGACATTCTCAGTATTGGTCACAAAAGCACACACATCTGGAAAATTAATAAACCCTAAAGATCCAAGGGATCCGAAGCCAGAGGCAGGGCTGTTTACTTGGTGGTTATCAACATTGACCAAAGAGAATGTATGACCATAAGTAGGTATGCCTACAATTATTTTGTTACGATCTAGTCCCTTGTCCAAGTACAGGTGTATGGTGTAGTTTATATTCAATGTGGCCAAATACAGCTGTTCTGTGCTCCGCTGGTACAGGGGAGAGTTCAGCCCAGTGAATGGAGTGTATTTGGTGAAGGAGTGGAAATCATATGTCATGATATTTACATAATCAACATACATATTCAATTGGTCGACATCATAGGACACATCAACAATTGCCTGAGGAGCTGCAGCGGCTACGGTTAAAATATAATCCCGTTTCTCTCTAATGTATTCCATACGAATTTCCCGAAGCAATTGTGAGAAATGTTGTCGCTCACGACCACCACCTAATGCATTATGTAATGCTGGGAATTCCCAATCCAAGTCTATCCCATCCAAGGAATGATTCCTCAATAAGTATTTCACTGACTTAATAAAAGTCTTTCTTGATTTGTGATTTAATACCATATCAGGAAAACCTTTATCAGTTCCAGCGCCTCCAACTGACACTAGAATTTTTAAGTCTGGATTTGTATGCTTGAGTTTAACCATTTCGATAATTGTACGATACTGATGGGGCTCGAGTCTTATCTCATTACTGACTACCTGAGCAAAAGCTAAGTTAATGTGTGTACACAAATTTGGATTAATACCAGATGGCATCAATTCATCAGTTGCATGCTCGCTAGGCATGTTATAGTAACATGATATTACTCTTTCTGCAACTCTACTCTGCAGGCTTCCACTGATATCACTAATATGACTATTCCCCCACATTCCATTTTGATACAAAGCTACACAAATCACTGCACTCGCGCACACAAACAGGAAACAGCTTGTCACAATTAATCCTCTGCAGCAATATTCTGTTTTTGTATTTGTAACTTGAGTACCGAAGTGATCATATTTAATGTCACTTAGCTTATGTTTCTTTTCTACAATAAAACTCCTCATGATAAAGTGACGAGTGAATAATTAAGAAAACACGGTTATTTTAGCACGTACTAATCCAAAAATACAACGCAAGTGATACCTTAATAAAGCTCACTATTAACATTATTCGAAGAAGACAAAGTATCCAAGTAGAATGTTAGGAAAATGATACCAAACAAAATTAAAACATAATAAAAACAAATCTGACAGCTGGCTCGTATTTCACAAGTTCGCAACAACAAAATATCACAGATTAACAATACTTCGAAATACCTAAAACAAAAAACTGCGCGCAGTAGATAAAATAAATAGTCGAAGTATGTAGAGTAGAGTACATTTTGTAAGCGATACGTTGGATAGACGGATAGTAGTAAAATAGTAGGTTCTTCGTAATCATTGTTTATTTATAATATATAAAACATTGCACGTTTATTTATTCACGTTATGATGGTGGTATTTCCTACTGAATACTCTGAGAAGAATTATATAAAACTCAGAGGTCTCAGTCACTACAGTATTATAAGACAACAACAATCTACAACATTATAGAACTTAAATAACAACTATACTTATTAATAACCATAGCGATTTTAATAATACAACGATCTCAACGATGACACCTGCGGTGCTGTCGCACCATCAGTGGTGCGACCACACCGCAGGTGCCATCGTTCATCATATCAGTATGATATATATTATGTTATATTTCCATGGGTCGTCCTTTACCTTATGTCGTCTATGGTCACACCTGACATAATTGTCTCTTTTTCTTCTTCCCGAGTCCAACCATTGAATATCTTGACCATAGATGTCAATTATTCATCTATGATCTTGACAGTTAAAAATTTGACATCATAGTTTGACATTGACATTAAAATGACATGACATAGCAGTCAATTCAATTCAATCGTGCGATGTTGATAATCAAGGCTTAAATTATTGTTGTAATAACTTCAATTACTTGATGCAGGCGTGTGTTTGGACATTAGTTGTGGGAGGTTCAATACAAACCTCAAAAAAGCTTGGTAGACATGGACAACTTGTCCATGAATCGCTATGAAAAACAACTGTATTCTGTGTTCAAAACCTTCGACGTAGATAACGAGGAAGCCTTAGACAGGTCAGCAGTTCACAAGCTTTGTGACGCATTGCAGCTCGAGGATCGAGGTGCGACCCTCGTGAATACTTTATTCGAACGGAGTTCCGACCGCATCACCTTCGCACAGTTCCGGAACGGGCTGCTTGCTGTGCTCGGCGGTTCTGGAGGCGAGCCAGCACGCGCGCTATCCGCACCGTCAGAGACTGCGACGGATGCAGCTCCACATCACAGTGATGACGATTCCTCGGGCCGAGAAGTGGCTCCCAAATTTGTATTTGGATCAAAAAAATATGGTCGCCGATCTAGGCCAACTCGTTCAGGACCTGCAGCTGATGAGCCTTCTAGTCCACGCTCCTCTTCAGCTTCACGACTGGACACTGATGATAAAAAGGCAAAACAACGTATGAGGTGCAGAAGAAGTGCGTCTGTTATGGAGACCCGGGGAGATAGCGAAAATAATGGCCAACATGATGCTTCTACTACAAATGTTTTTAAACACGACCGGCGCATTGACCGTGATGAAGCTTTCGCCTTGTGCCGTGATTTAAACATGGACGGTATCGACCAACGGCTTATAGAGCGAATATTTGATAACACTACAGATACTACTGTAGGTGAGTTTTTTGACCGTCTTAATGCTGAACTCACAACTACAATGGAAGAGGCTTCACGTGACGTGCCACCTACAGCAACAATCCCAGACACCATTGCTGATGTGGCCCACGATGAAGCCTCATCTGGATTACCCAGTGAGCTTGTACTGGAGGCATGGGAGCGAGCAGGGGTGCACCAACCACGTCGGTTACTTACTGAGCTTGGCTTTGGTGCAGTTGCATTGAGCTTACCTGAGCTAGAATGTGCCCTGGATGATGAATTACGGGCTCTCAGCGAACCAACTGATGAGCCGAGAGATGCTCGTACACTTTTACTTTTGGCTGCGCTCACACTTAGCCGACTACGGCTAGAGCTGACGCGGCGTCGCATAGATGTGACTACTGCCGAGAGAGATAAGCTCCGAGGAGACGTTGCCGAGGCTAATAGACACGCCAGACTAATGGCACAAGAAGTCGATGAAAGTCATGCTCGTATCGAGGCCGAATTGAAAGCGAGTCTCCGTCGAGCTGAAGCGCGTCATGCAGAAGCCATCCGCCAGGCTGCCGCGGAACATGCGGCCGAGCGAGAGCGCGCTGCGGCTACACGAGCGCGGCTCGAAGCGGAGATCACGAGACGTGCCGACCTGGAGGCGCGCTTACGGGGTGAGATGAGTGGACTGCAGGAGCGCGCCGACGAGCTCGAGGCGCGCGTAGCTACTGCAGAGGAGCGTTGCACTGAGACTGAGAGGGAACGGGTGCGACTAGCGGGCGAGCTGCGCGCAGCACTGGAGCAGGGTGCGGCGGCACGCTCGAACGACGTTCCGCGCGAACTGGCTGAGCAGCTGTGCGAGCTGCGGCGCGACAACCAGCGCCTGCGCGACCGGAACGACGAGCTTTGCGCCGCGCTGGAAGCCAGCACTCGCCGCGCACCGGGCCCGCCCGAGCCCCGCAGTGGGGATCTCTCCACTGAACTGGACTCACTGTTCACTCATGAACACTCTGAGGTAAGTTTAATGAAAGCTGCTGAAGTACTGACTCCAATTTTATTAGTTTAGACTTGAATATGTAAGTATACAGGCACAGGGTGCCCAGTAAATACTGTGAGTCATCAATACCTACCATAACAACCAAATATACCTACAGGGTTGCAAGTCACAGGATTACAGGTTTATGTCGGTTGTCCCCCCTTTTTTGTGTTGTGTCTCAATTTTGTTCTGTTTTTACTATTTTTGTGAAGAAGATTAGTTACTTTTTTATTTTAAACCATAAAACTGCAAGTTACTAGATACACCAAAAGATAAAGGATTATTAGGTTTTCTGCGGCTCCGGATCGGCATCAGCCCTATTGGGCCCCATCCGTGGTGGTCTGATCTCTGATGGCCCTTTGAGACGCGCGCGGAACGCGACGCGCGGTACGCTCGGGTCTGGTTCTGGGCGGGCGGCGAGCCACCCATGCTCGACGTCCGCAGGCGCGCGCTTACGGTGGCCGGAGATCGTCCCGCGATCCCCGACGCCCGGAGTGTTCTCCGCGATGGCTGGGTTGTGAGGAGGCAGCGCTTCGCTGCCTCACGCGCCCCGCCTCCTTAGCTAGCATTTCTTAAATAATATATTGCTAACGTATTTTTAACAAATACTTCTTTGAGAGTACGTCATTAGGTACGTATATACTAAGTAACTACTAATTGACGTGAATTATTACAAAATCAGATGTTATGCCGACTGACGGAAACACGACCCAACTCTCTCGTGAAAATAAATAGTTTGTACATGTACCTAGTGCATGTAATGGATGCTGTCCGTAGTTCTAGAGCACTGAATGAACGGTGGACTTTGTCATCCATCGTTGTAGTCCACTTCAGAACAGCGGTTGTCTGGGAACATGGTCGGACTCTCTCGTTAAAATAGTTTGTACGGGTAATAGACGAAGTAGACAAAGGATTATTGAAAAAGAAATATATAAACTGAAAGATTTGTTTTTATTTTTAAAAAGTGTATGACAGATGTGTTGCAGATTACTAATAATATTATAAATCGGAAAGTGGGTTTGTTTGTTTGTTTGTTTGTTTGTTCCGCTTTCACGCCGTAAACCGATTGCTTTGAAATTGTGCAGACGTAAAGTTAGACTAGAAGTCGGGATTATATAATAGGGTTCTTTTTATTCCGGAAAAAATTGATATTTCTGAGGGAAAACAAAAATATTGGTATAGATGGCGCTGTGTGTATTGGTATACATGATAGTATATGGCGCTGTATGTCATTTAAAACAAGTCAACGAATTACACAGTAATTGGAAATGTCACGCTTTCATCTATAGGTAGCGCTACCTACACTTGTCTTATTCGGTGCACTTTTCGACTCATTTATTTGCTATTATACAGGGTGGCCAAAAAGTCGTGGATCAAATGAAACAGGGAGACAAAGGAGGTAATTTCCAACAAAAAATCTTTCTCCAGCATGGCTATAACTTCATTGCACGAAAAGATATGAATTATTTTTGTTTTTTCCATGAAACTACCGAGATTTTTTACAATTTAATCAGTAGAAAATGAAATTGATTAAAAACAATAAAACAAAAGGTGTTGTATTATGACTCGATTATGTATCAATACTACAAAAATTGTATTGCAGCTCTTGGTATGAAACTTAACGAGCTATGAATTATTTTCCGTAAATTTTGAAGCGTTACAAAAAATTACTTCTCACTTTAAGAGCACCATTTGAAAAAAAAATGTATTACGGAAAAGTGACCCTGTACTAAAAAAACTTGCCGGTTTAATGCTGATTCAAACGAGGTGCAACACTTTATTCTTTGATTTTTAGTTTTGGTTTTATGGTCGTTTTTTCATATCAAGGTGCAAATTTAATAAAATGGTTTTAAAGGAAAAATTTGATTTTGTTCTCATACATTCTATGTAGTAATTTCAGAAGCTATCATGAAATGAAAACAACGATTATGCCTTAGTAATTTTATTTAAATACAAATTACATTAAATGTTCAAAGTTCCTACCTCTGACCATAATACACAATCTGCACCGCCTAATAAAATTCGCACGTAATCGGCGGAATGCACCTCTGTTATTTAAAATTTGTAACTTAGCAAACTCGAGCTTTTGTCGTAGTTCTTGTTCGGTGTTATTCTCTCCTTGATACACTATTTCTTTAAAATAGCCCCAAACAAAAAAGTCTATGGGATTAAGATCAGGCGACCGGGGAGGCCATGCAATAGGTCCGCCTCGACCAATCCACCGGTTAGGGAAGCGCTCGTTCAAATGTCCTCGAACTGCTCTAGCGTAATGAGGCGGGGCGCCGTCTTGTTGCAGCCACATTTCTGCCACTCTATCTTCAGGAATCTCAGCATCGTTCAGGATTTGGTTCAAATTATTTTGTAAAAAATTCAAATACTGAGCACCATTCAGCCTTGGTGGCATTTCATGTAGCACAAGCTGCTGGTCAATTATTCCAGCCCACATGTTTATGCCAAACAGATGTTGGAATCTATCATTTCTGATGATATGTGGGTTCACTCTGGAGTAATAGTGTAAATTGTGGATGT